TGGTGTGGGGATTTTTTCAATTTTTGTCCCTTCCCTGTTGTGGGGATTTCTTCAATTTTTCACTCATTTCCTAGGGGTATTTTTTCAAGTTTGCCTTGTCTAGGAAGATGTCCTGCAAGTCTTCTCTCCCCTGGCAACTGTGAATGTTGAATACCCATTTCTCAAAACATTTAATATTGTAAAATTGGTCCGTGCTCGTTGACTAGGCTTTTACAACCTTGCGAGGACCCAAGAAGTTTTCTGCCTTTTGAATAAACCCAAAACATGAAACTAGGTTTCTCATCCACTAAATTTGTTCAAGGTGAAGTTCCTCAACCACACACTTCACTTTTTTCTAATTTTGGAATGGTTTCATTTTTTTCATGTTTGTTATAAGCAGCAGTGACACTTTCTTCGCATCACTGAAACACCTGTGGAAGTGTTATTGGCTATCAGAGGTCACTTGACAAGGTAAAAATGATGCTCTGAAATTGTGTTAGCTGCCTAAAGTCTGAATTTTATCTTTTGAAAGCTTCGAACACTGCGCTCGGGAAAGTTAATCCAGTGTGCATAAATTTGCCTGAAAACATGGCGCTGTGACAACATAATATCAGATTTGTAATCAGAACCAGATTTATTCCTGCATTAATTCTTATGAATGTAAATTGAGATCAAGAATATTGCCCTTTCGCTAAGCATCAACAGATTCGGCATTTAAGAAGTAACCAGACTCACCTGGGAAAAACTTGGATACTTAATAATTTATTTCAAAGTTCAGCTGGAAAAATTCCCCTTTTCAGATAAATGGATGTGGCTAAAACTTTTTCTATTTCAATTTCGTAAAAAAAGATATGAATTTCATTTCAACAAATACAGAAAGTGATCTGGCAGTTCAGAGAAAAATTCTGTCCAATAAAAAGCAGAGAAACATTTGAAATGCAGTGTCTTGTTCGGAAGCTGATCAAATATCACAAGGGACTCTTAATAAATAAAATTTTTAACCAGGAAGGCTTTTGGATGAGGTTGTTGGGTGAGAATTAGAGATTTACCACACCTTGAGTGCTTCTCAGAGTTCAGAGTAGTTAATCAGGAATTCATGTGCTTCCGGAATGGCCAGAAAGTCAGTTTGACCTGTAGAAGGGCTGGAGATCCACCTTTTGAAATACTTCCAATTTTCCTCATTTTATCTTTGAAATTGTGGAGTCCAGGTCAAGGTTTCTGGAGAATCATTGGCTTCAAATATCAGCTTTGTAGTAGCTTTCACTTGGAGATTGCAATTGAATAACTAAGTGTTAAATGTTTAAATTAATACATGTACATTTATTTTCTTCATTTGCTCTTTCTAGTAACGTGCACCGCTGGCAGGTTGGACCAAGTCATCGATGTGTGAATACAAGACTGAACGCAAGATGTGCCCAGCAGCCTTGGATTCCTTAGATGTTAGTTGGTTGACCCTGTGACGCAAGATGTCTTAAGTCGGCTTCATACATCAGTTGGTCCGTCTCACAGCTTCAACATCACAGACTTCAAGACTAGAGAAAGGCTCCAAATCTTCGACTGCAATTTTCGTCTGCCGTTGGCTAAGAATAATTGGACAAATTGTATCTTATGAATTTCAAGTTCAGCAAGTAATTATTCGGAAATGCTTGGTGCATTCGTTTACAAGAGAAAAGGCCGCCTTCTCTGTAACAATGGTGGTCTTTGGAATCAGAGACACACACATTGTTCTGGTAACTTTTCAAACTGTTATGTAGGTTTGTAGTTAATTTCAAAGGGCTGGCATTTGGCCACATATTTTGCAATAAAACAGGGAAAGTGGATTTGCTTGATATCAAGTCTCTTTATTTCATTGTACTGTCTTGTATGGTCATTTATTTTGATATAAAAATGATGACCTTTAACAGAATTTATTCTGGAAGCTAATAAAATGGCTATCAACGGTAAGGGTCCCCATATAGACATTCACTTTTCCCTGTAAGTGGTGTATCTCCCACCTGAAAGCGATAACATGTCTTTTAAAAGTCAAATTTAGCAGGGAAAATACCAAAACATTTACCTGGAAAATATTTCACATTTTTCAGACCAGTCTCATTTGGTTTGTGCAAAAGATGAGTGATGTCTGTGTATGGAACTCTGAGCTATGAACTATTTATGAATTTTATTGGGAAACACTGGTCGAAGGGAAATTGGAATTAACAAGGCTTAAAAATTTAAAGGGAAATGGTACCAAAATTAGAGCAAGCATATGTGCACAGCCAGGACGTCAATGTAATCTGCCAAATAGGTATTTAAACTAAGACTCAGATTTGCAATTCCTTCACGCCAAGACCGAGAAGGACAAAACTGTGCCACACTACAGTCGAATAAATCGCCACACTCATGGGCCGTATACGATGCTCAAGTTCTTACCTTCTTGTGCAGAGGGTCTGTTTGATGAAACCTAGCGACATAACCATGGAGGAATAGCAAAATTAGAAGAAACGGCAATAAGCATGGTATGTTTAGGGTCGACAAGACGGTGGAAATGCCCGTCATGTTGGAAGTAGCTAGAGCATCTGATCATGCGATGCCTCTCGGCTAAAGACCCGACTACAAATGACAAGAATTAATATGGATAAGCGATGACATAAAACAAACCACGTGTGGGCAGGGAGCCAATAGGAACAGAAGGGGGAGGTGTGGCGAGAAGGGAATTTTGAGGGACAGGACACCTTCCTTAGACTGCACGGGGAATACAAGTCAAAGTTAGAGGCGAATATAAGGCGTTCAAAACCAAGGCCCCCATTGCACACACGTTAAAAAAAGCGGTACTTTGGCTGAGAAAGAGACCAATTCCATTGTTGGATTCTTTTGTTCAGTCTCCCCTTAACAATAAAAACATTCGAGGCTTAGGAGAGGATTAGACGCCGCTATCTTTCGTTACGCTTGGGTGAACAACAATGGGGAGAATTGAAGCAGAAAATCTCGGAAAACTCGCCTTTAAAGGCATTTCAGGCAACAAAATGATACTTTTTGCAGAGGAAATTGCATAACAAATCTAACTATAGTTTCAAAATTTCAAAATTCTCCCGAATAAAAAAGTTGGCTTTTCAGGACTGGTTAGTTCAACGCTAAAACTTTCTCCCACCCGCCGATGGTGGCGCTATAACATTGAAAGTCCACGGTGCCTGCCTGGGCTGTGCATTACGCACGTAGCATAGGAAACACTGATATGGCTGTTTGTGTAGTACAGCCCACGCCATATAGTTATGCACAATGCGCCTGTCTGTTGGAAACGCCGAAATGGCTAAAATTGTAGCTCGCTGTGCTGTATATACGTGTGAACAATCGGCCGTGTACAGAAATAACCATATCGGCGGTGCAAATCGGATTTTCTTCACGGTCCAAGAAGCTGGTTGCCCGGTTTTGCGTGATGTTTAGCTTGCATAAGCGGGAAATAGTATCGCGTGGTATAAAATGCCGTGTATATTACTAAAAATAGCAAAAAGTCTTTGCCCATGAGGAAAAGGAACAAATAATATTCAAGTGCAACCTTAGAAAGTGTGACCGATGAATTAGAAAGGATTTTGTTCATGGAAAATATACAAGGATAGAATGTTCAGGATTTTTAAAAATAGAGATTGAAACCGGGTGGCAGGGTATGAACATTGTCGGAAAGTACTACAGAGCCCCCGAGAAATGTTTGGTTTGATTCTCGAGGAAACATGTAAAAATTAAAATATAAAAAACATTTGGAAAATGTGTATAAAAAGATAAGATCTTTTAGAAAATTTCATATGAAAGTTTAAAAATGAAACTGTGAATTTGTTTTCTCGACAGCACATCGTATGCTGATATACACACATGAAAATGATGTACAGCTTCACTGCATGCCTCGAATTATGGTGGATTTTCACTGTTATAGCGCCACCAACGTCGGGTGGGAGAAAGTTTTAGCGTGGATCCAGCAAGTGCTGAAATGCCAACTTTTTTATCCGGGCGAATTTTGGAAAATTGAAACTATAGTTAGATTTGTTATGCAATTTCCTCTGCAAAAAGTATCATTTTTTTGCCTGAAATGCTTTTAAAGGCGAGTTTTCCGAGATTTTCTGCTTCAATTCTCCCCATTGTTGCTCACCCCAGCGTAACAAAAGAAAGCGGCGTCTAATCCTCTCCTAAGCCTCGAATGTTTTTATTGTTAAGGGGAGACTGAACAAAAGAATCCAACAAAAAAATTGGTCTCTTTCTCAGCTAAAGTACCGTTCTTTTAACGTGTATGCAATGGGGGCCCAGATTTGAAACGCCTAGCTTGTGTTCGCCTCTAACTCAGACTAGTAATGTATTCCCATCCTCGTGCATGCAGTCTAGTCTGTGGAACTTTCCTGCTCCCCCAATTCTGTTCTCGCCACACCCCCATCTATTCCTATTGGCTCCCTGCCCACACATGGTTTCATCGCTTATCCATATTAGTTCTTGTCATTTGTTGTCGGGTCATAGTATCAGCCGAGAGACATTACACTATCAGACGCTCTGGCTACTTTCTACATCATAGGCATTTCCACTTTGTCGTCGACCCTAAACCTGCTACTGTTGCTATTTTCTTCATATGTTTCATCCCTCCATGGCTCTGTCGCCAGTGTCAACAAGCAGACCCACTGCATAAAAGGTAAGAAACTGGGGGTATTTCAGCTTCGTATACAGCACATTCCCTGAAAAATATCAGTGTGTATGGCGAATCATTCTACCGGAGTGGCACAATTTCTCCCTTAACCCTCCTGTTTTAACCATCAAAAACAGTCAGAAATGCCTTCCAATTGATTTCCCCCAGTACACAGACACGTATGGGAAACTTGACTGATATGACAACTGTGTCAAGAATGCATCTTAGCATAGGAGGGTTAAAGTTTTCGGTTTTAGCATGGAGTAATTCCTAATCCCAGTCTTGATACGAATGCTGTTTTGGTAGATTACATTAATCCTGACCGTACAAATATCATGCGCAGTTCGCGCTTTCATTTTGGTAGCATTCCCCTTAAAGCCTTGCTAATTTCAAACTCCCTTAGAATAAGTTTCCCCCCAAAGCTAAAATTCAAATTCAGTTGGTACCGGTAGCTGTTTAATTAGTCTTGAAAATAAATTCTGTCAAGGCCCAATTTATGTCAAAATAAATGGCGTAAAATTCCATATGCGGACATCACTCAATATACCCTGTTCAAAACCCTATGAGACTGGTCTGAAAAATTGTAAGTATTTTCTATGAAAATGCATCAACAGTGTCACAATTGGAAAAGACTTTTAAGACACGTTATCACTTTCTGATGCCTAACAAACTACTCCAAGGGAAAATTAATTTCGTCTGTAGATGGAACTCTTACCTAAATGGTAATAAAATACAGTACAACGAATTGAAGAGACTTGATATCAAATTCATCCACTTTCACTGTTTTATTCTAAACTCTCCGGCTCAATGCCAGCACTGTGAAATTTGTTCATTACAAAACTTTAACAGTTTCATAATGTTATCTGAGCTATGTGTCTCTCATTTCAAAGACCACCATTTTTGCAGAGAAAGGCCACCTTTTCTCCAAATGCAATGTGCACACAAATGCACTAAGTGTTTCAGAACATAACAAACCGCTCTTAAACTTGGAATTCATAATTTAACATTTTTCCCACTACTCTTAGCCAACAGCAGATGAAAGTTGCAGTCGAAGATTTGGAGCCTTCCTCTAGTCTTGAAGGCTGTGATGCAGAAGCTGTGAGAGGAACAAACTGACGTATAGAGATGCTTAACTTGAATCACAAGGTTGCTGGTTGCAAGGCTGCTAGCGACATCTTGGGTTCAGTCTCGTAATAACCAGAAATGGATGACTTGGCCTGACCAGCTGAGCACGCTACAAGAAAGAACAAATGAGGAAATGTTTTAAACGTATCCAATTGCAATCTCCAAGTGAAAGCTGAAGCTATTTGAAGTGAATGATTCTCTGCAAAACCCACATCAAGGTTCTGCCAGTTTCATTATCTAAATGAAGAAATTGAAAATGGAACTCCACTGCGAACTTGAAACGTACAGACTGAGTTCCTAGCTATTCCCAAAGCACATACCTTGCTAATTAACATTTGAAATGTTATACAGGATAAAAGCCCAGTATGTTTTTTTTGAAAGAACATTGCACTCCAAGTGTGGCAGCTCCTTTTAATGAGACCCCAAATCACCCATTTTTCGTCAAACAGCAACTGTATTCCTATCAATATCCTATTTATCATATCAATTTATTTATTAAGAGTCTCGATGAATTTCTGTCACTTTTGAAATTCCAAACAAGACAAGGCATCTGGATGTCTCTCTTAGTCCTTTTATAGCTTTTGGACGAAATATTCTCAGGCCTCTAGGACACTTTTTGTATTGGTTGAAATGGAATCTTTTCTGAGACTGAAATGAAAGAAGCTTGAGCCCAATCCAATTATTTGATAAGGGGAGTTTTGCCAGCTAAACTTTGAAATTAAATTGTCCGTCTCCAAGTTCTTCCCTTGTGAGTTGGTCGATTACTTCAAATTAAGAACTGCCAATCCTTTGAGAAAGTGCGCCGCTTGCCAAAAACTGCTCTCAATTTATATCTACAAGAGTAAAGCAGGAAAGTCTGAAATGATGTCACAGCTCTGTGCTTTCAGACAAGTTTTGGCAATCTTAAAGAGGGCAGTGACATGTGTTTGAAGCTTTAAACGACAAAATTATTCAGACTCTAGGCAGGTGGCACAATTTAAGAGCATCATTCCTTACCTTGTCATGTGACCTCTGATGGCCAATAAAACTCCCACAGGTGTTTCTGTGACGTGAAGAATGTGTATCTTTTCATTGCTGCATATAAAAAAGATGAAAAATATGAAACAATTCCAAAATTAGACATTAAAAACAAATGAAGCGTGTGGTTAAGGAGCTTTACCTTGTACAAATTTAGTGGATGAGACACCTGCATGTACTTTCATGTGTTTGATTTATTTAAAGGCCCCAAAAAATTCTACGGTAGGCTCACATGTGTGAAGGTTGAAAAAGCCCACTAGAAAAGCTAGTCTGAGCTCATTCACATTTCAAATCTTGTACCTTTTACAATCTCAGTTGTAATGAGATAGGGGAATTCAGCATTTTCCATCACCATAGGAAGGTAAATTTTTATCGCACATCTTTCCATACCAGGGGAAGGGCAAAGTTGAAGGAATCTCCAAAACTCTTAAGTCTAAGGGAATTATGTCATACAATCGAAAGCTGCCATGAATATAGGAAATGACAGGAAAACTGAGTTGGTAGTAACCCTAGACACAGTCTGGGTATTATTTTGATAAATAAGAGCATTTACAGTTTCAGATTTTTTTCATCGCTCGACTTGGTGTAAGGACTGCAACAAGTCAACCACACTGATCAACAAAACCGCACACAAAGATTATTAATGAAGTACACAATTATTGAACACTGGCACAAGAACACATGTAGCTCTGGTCAAAGACACTTTTTAATGGAAGGTGCCAATGAAAATCTTAGAAATGTCCTACCGGGGTTGCTATGGGATTGACCAATCAGTGCCAAGGTATAAAAGACTGAAATTCACTTGAATAACTAAGTTGAAATGATTACCCTGTAAGGTAAATTTCAGCATCTGTGCTTTTATCACGATTTTATTACACTTCTTTTCGGTATATGAAGGCTGGATATTAATGATTTTTTTTTTTAATTTAAAAGGAATTTTCTGG